GTGACCGCAAAAGTTAGGTGTAAAGCAACAGCCATTCATGCAGTTAATGACCTGAGTAATTCAAGTTCGGTGCAAAAATGCATGATCGCTCGGGCCCGCCCGGTGCGTTCCAGCCTGGGTTGCAATTTGCATGTAGGCAAGAACGCATACTGTTAAAAAAACGCACATTGCAAACTTATATTATATATCTACATATATATATGTGTGTGTGTGTGCTAATGAGCGAAGTTTGTTACCCGTTTTCAACTGGAGAGGTAGAGAAGCTAGAAAATTGAAATTATGCAAGCGTGCTCCCGACCCATGCGTCGCTCTTACAACTTGAAACTAGCGTCCACGCATGCCTATGTCTAAACGGAGCCTGGAAGGAGTCGTCAAAAAATTTCGGCGAGAAAACAAATTCGAGAACTAGGTAAGGCAAAAAGCTGAAATTCCCTTCTCGTGTGTAAGTCAAAGATTTCAAATTCATCTATTACGTATACTTGCTTCACGAGTGTAAACAAATGAAATTTCATTATTGGCATTCTGCTAACTTGAAAATTAGTCTATAATACAGCTGTAATTTCGAGAGAATCTCTACCGCCCGCGTGCGGACTCCCACATCTAAACTATGCTTTGGATTAAATTTTCTTCACAATAAAGACACGTTGAACACTATCGTGACGAAGAACGATTTCGGGAACCAGCCAAGCGCTAATTTTCTGTGTCTGTGTGCGATCTGTAAAGCATGCTTACGTCTCACGTTATGCGCAAGGAATCCACGACTTCGTGAGAATGTTTATTCTCCACATGCAAGCCTGCAGTTGTAAAATGAGCTTCTGCTTTCGTATTTGCTCTGCCCCAACGCCTCAAATGTTCAAATTGCAGCACTTTTATCATCCTGCTTTACCAATAATCAAAGAGCCAGGAGAACAAAAATTTAGAACTTTTGTGTCACTAAAAACATAAATTCAGCTTTCACAAATGTTTGAATCTTGCATACAGATGGTGCGAACTTGAGGGCACATATTGTAAGTAACGTTTCGTTATGCATTCCATATGACGCTGGGAAGCTGCGAATTCACATGGCTCCATAATGCAACACTACCTTCTCAAAGAATGTTTCTTCCTCCCCCAAGCAGAAGAAGGCTGAAAGCAATGCCAACTTCAGCGCGCATGTTAATCTATAAAGTAACGATCATTCACATGATTACTTCAGACCTGGGCAAAAAAAAAAAAAAAAAACACATAATCGCGTCGGCAAAACCGGTACACTTTGCTACTGTGGTCAAGTTATGTCCTCAATCTCAAATTTTGACTGACTTTTACACTTCCAATTTCTGTCTGCTGCAACTCCCAACTCTTGCAGCAGTTCATACAAGTAAGCGTAAAAGTATGGCGTCGCCGCCCCGCTAGTGTGCTGTAGTGCATTTCAATTTGCAACATTTAGGATCCTCGTGCTATTCCAGAGCAATGCAAATTCTAAAAGCCCTGCTTAATTGTGTGTGTAAAGAGCAAAACGAGTTGCCTATGTAGTCCTTAACATCAGGTTTAAATCTTATCAAATCGAACCACTGCTCGTGTCAATGCAAACGGCTGGTTGAAGGAAGAAGGCTGATGCTTCTTTGCCGAGCCGACCACAGTTACTGGAGACATGTTGCTAGGAGCAGAAATTCCATACTTCATTAATTAATTTTGAAATTCGTTCTGCTGAGGGAAAAAGGAAAAAAGCAGACACGTTTGAGGACGAAGCACCACTGTGCCACATCGCTAAATGCTGCTGCGCGAAACTTTGTCACCAATCGATCCTTCTCAGCGGCTCCAGCCAAAAACTGCCTCAGAGGACAACACTTGCATTTCTGTGGTTGGCCGAGAATGGCTGGCCAACTAAGCTCTTTGTCAATGCTCCGTTCTCTGGCCTGCCCTTCCGACTACATTCCCCATCTGCCTGCTTTATGCCTATAGCAGCCTCAGGCAACCGCGGCGTTCCTGAATAGCACCCATCGCAGGGCGACTTCTATCATTAAAAATTGTCTTCTCTCAGTAAGTGCCCACTTTCCCTATCAATTTACAAATCGAATTCGTCTGGCAAAATTTTGCGCGTCCTTTTACTGCTGACTTCTTCTAATGCGCTCATATCGATTAAATTTGGCATGACTAGGCCAAAAGCAATGACCAAGCCAGAAATATGGACTGGAAGGTGGCTCTGATGAACTGAAGTACTCTTGGGATGTATTTGCTGAAGTACTTCTGTTCGCTTTTAATCGAAAATGCATTTTGATGAGGAAGTCATGCGTATGTGCTTGTCAATCCGAATACTTCAGCCCCAAACTGCAAAGGCTGAGAGGCAAAAATTTGGTAAATATCTTTTTTTCCTGACAATCGGCAAATCCACAAATCTAAAATCAATTGCTTTGAAGTTATGTGACTTCAAATCTCATTTCAGACTAATTATTTTGTAATTTCAGTGATACAAAACAGTGACCTGTAAGTTTTATATCTTTAATGCGCTGCATAATTCGGCGTTTTAAATGACATAGAGCTGACTTTTAAATTTCACTGTGAGAGCAGTGATCGAAATTTTGTTCATGGCATAATTTTGAAGTAGGAGCAGCTCAGATTTAGAGTTGTGGGACTATTGAGCACGGAAAAGTGCAGATGGTAACTTGCATTCACCCCACGTCCAGTAGTCGCAAAAACGCCTGAGGACGCCAGCCCACAACTGCTTAGTTCGAATTTATGCAGAGCACTGCTTTAAACAAATCTGATTTCCTAAAAGTCGTAAGCGCACCGTCATTTCACTACAGTGCGCACGCATTTTAATGCTGTTCGGGTTTCAGCTCTTCCCAACGAGTTCGTAATGCAGTCACCGGAGGCACATCGACGTTTGCCGTCACTCCCGCTCAAGCCGCCATCAGCATCAGCATCTCTCCAGACTGCATCGTTAGCTACACGAATGAGTTCATCGCCCGAAATGTCTACTGATATTTTCTCACCGCCAGCTGATATCCCTGGCAATACTCAGCCATCCGTTAAGGAGGATCACAGGTATGCACTCCTCAAATGGGATCAGTCTTGACTTTCTTATGCATTTTCACATACCTGATACGATGCAAAAACACCTACTGTCAAGAGGTTATCTCTGTCTGTCTGTATGTATGCATGTGTGTGTGTGTGTCACTTTTTTGCCTACCTTCAACTCAGCAACCAAAAAAACTAAGAAGCTGAATTTTCCAGGAGTATGTTTTCGCTCCATTACCATTTGAATCTTTTCTTCCTTAAATTAAAATTCACGTACTTTAGACTTCACGTATGGATGCCTGAAAGGAAACTTAAAAAAACTTTGGCCGGAAGATTATTTTGAGAACTAGTCGGCATAAAAAGCTGAAAATTGCTTTGCTGCTTGATATGTGCAGAAATCGTTTGAATGCTCTGATCGACCAATATGCAGAAGCTGGATCTAAAATTGTCGTGGTCCTAAATAAGCAGAAAATACTCTCGTGAATTTCCAGCTTTCCGTCTTGTTTGATTTTATGGTTGGAATACTATCCACCGAAACATCCATTCGTGCGTACGTAGAACTTAGGCGTCTGTAAAAGCTAAATCTAGAATTTTACATGGGCACGTAGCATCTTTCTAAAATTTCAGCTTCCTATTCTTCTGGCTCAGAGTTAGCAGATTTCCATGCCAAGATTATCACATAACCGCATGTGAAACCTAAGCGTGCACGAAAACTGAATTTGATATACTTGGAATACTTGAACATAGAAATAAAACATTCTCCTAAAATTTTCAATCTTCTGGCTTTTTTTTTCGCGAGTTAACTATCTTCGTGTTAAAATTTTATATCTCAGAACTTAAGACATGCATGTAAATGAAAGTTAAATTTGCGAAATTGCATGTGGTCATGAATTATTTCCTTACGTTTTCTTCTCCCCATTTTTTTCGATTCTTGATTTGAGGGCCTAAAACAAAATGTACTCGAACACACATACACAAAAACACATGACAATATGCGTTTTGGATTACGGCACAAAATACATAAAAAGATTTAAAATCTTAGTCTATTTTAGCTGTGCTCCAGTAAAAGCATTCTTAGATAAATAAAGCATTCTCGCTGCATCAGTGTAAAATTAGTTTGCCCGCTCTTACAGTGCTCTTCAGCCTTCATCCGTCTATCATTTTCGTATCAAATGAGACTCATAAAATCTTTTGCAATATACAATGCAATGGAATTTGATACGTTTGTGGCATGCAAATCTCGCATTTTGCTCAGCTGCAAAATTAACGTCGGCTGCCTTCGCTAAGATTGCACAAGCACGGCTATCCCTGAGTTGAGCAATCTTGAATTTGTCTGGCATAACACTGCTTGAAGCTAAAATTGTTATCATTTACAAACTAATTTGAATTCTTCCAATATCTGTGAGTCTTCAGACCTCAAACACGAGTGCTTGTACAATTTAAAATGGCCGAAACTCTATAACAGGCAAAAAATATAGATGCAGGAGGTAATTGTTTGGCACACTTTTAGCTTTTGCTGTTAGTTAAGACGGTTGCGCTTCTGGCGAATACCCCAGTAAACGTTTGCACATTCCATTAGTCCGTCAATTTAGCTTGAATCTTAAGTCACGAGTTACGATACAGTAAAGTCTGATTTAGAAAACCATTTTTTTTCAAATCCTTTTCAGCTTATGCAGTCAGTATGAAGCTAGGCCAAAGTTGACGAACGCAGAAGTTTGAAAACAAATTTATTTTAGTATGAATAGAGTTTAGCTGGTTTTTCGTTGAGAATACTGATGTTATCAGGACAATGGATTGGATTTTTGAAGCAATAGGGTTATTTCCCTAGCAGAGTTGGTGTGAGCTATTACCCATTTTAGTAATTGCGGGGCTCGTTTCAGTTAACATTCACTTTTGGCCATTGGCTTGGAAGCAGTAGGAAAGCTATAGGGACGCAGATGAAAAAACTCTCGCAAAAATAGAGCTGTGCTCATTCAAACACATACAAATGATCATTAAGTCAAAAAATTAGAGTTTGTAGGATTTGTTTTGGTACTGATTCGGTGATAGGACGTTCTGCATTGCTTTTTGAAGATAGCTATTATGAGGAGGATGGTCTCAACGGCAATCAGCTTTCTTCTAGAAGAGGTATTTTTTAATTTATGCTGTACTTACACTGCCTTCCGCATAATATTAATTCCTGTAGAAGTTGCTAATCAGCTATCGAAGAGCTATAAGTTCAAATAAGTAACATGAGCACTGAGCAAAAAGTAACTTGACAAATGAGAAAACGCTATGACTTCATTTGCATTCAGCTTCCAGAATTGTTGTATGTAACAGGAAGAGATGTACTCATTGTTAATTTTCCAAGGAATTGTTCAATTTGGACAAGAAGATTCGTCGGGTGTGTCAAGTTGTTGCACTGGTTCCGAACAGCTCAATCCAACACACCGAGTTCATTCATCCTTCATTCCGCGGCACGATGACGAAGTGCTACTGGAGATTGGTGACGCGGTCCATGTTGAAAGAGAATGTGAAGATCACTGGTGTTATGGTCTGCTTATACGCTTTATTGCTAACCTAGTCACTTTTGACAACTTAAAAAAATTTACTAATAATTTTGAAGACCTGCGAATACTTTTTTAAAATGCCGAAAGTTAAACTTACTTTGAAGGTACGAACCTGAGGACGAATCTTCACGGTATATTTCCATCAGCACATGTATGCGAAATTGATCTGGTGGAAGAAATTTGCATGGGTGCACTATCAAGCAATGTTACTCGTAAGTGTCCACTCGGCCCATTCATTCATGAGTAGGAACTCCATTAATTTTTATGCGCTTTTGTATATTTATGAAAATGCAAAGACGTATATTGTAGAGAGGTTTATGTCTGTGTGTATACGTGTCTGTGTGTATGTGTATCTGTGTGTATGCGTGCGTAAGAATTTTTCACCAACCTTTAACTTGAGAACCAGAGAAGCTAGAAATACCACGATATAATTGGACAGGAATTTATGATAAGGATAGATGAATGTCGCACGAAATTTAAAGCTTTTGAGTTCCTAAAAGTAAGATATGTTTCAGAAACAATGACAAGTGAACGCGATACTTTTTATCTAACGATGCTTGCATCAATCGAGGTGGCTCACCACAAAGGAAATGATGTGCTTGTGCAGGCTATGAATAAGGTTGTTATTTCGCTGTTATTGTTAGTGTTTTAGTCTGCTGCGTTGTCTTTGCGTGCTTCTCAAAGAGCTTAGATTGCGCTTTTCCTATCCCGAGGTGCACATGATAAAAAAGTTCTCGTTTTTTATTGGCAGTCTAGTTTGGCCGTGCACTACACTTATTGTCCACTACTGTGTTAGTAATTAAATGCTGTTAAAAATGCTAACCACAGGCAACGAAAAGGCAAGAAAGAGAATTTCAGAGTTAGGAAAGTTTGTAAGTGCAATCCTTAAAAAAAGTTCCCGACCGTCTATTGGGCTTCGTAACTCGGATCAGTTTCATTGTGTATTATTATCTTGACCCCAGTTTCATAGTTAAATTTTGTAACTCCAAAACCAAAACGTAGGTGTGTTAAAGCCGAATTTGAAGTTTTTAGCTCAGACATGGAGATGGAGCATCTCTTTGGAACTTTAGTTTTTCATCCTGTTTGATTCCCGAGCTGCGCGCAGAAAAGTACGAAAATGTAGCTTAGTTAACCAAGTAAAATGTTGTTTTAGGTGTTAAGTGTTTATCAAAACAAAGAAGAAATAATTGTGCCTCAGACGGTGCTCATGGAAGTGTCATTTCGCGGTATACATATCATCGACAAACGGAAAAAGAACGTAAGCTACTTTTAATCCAAATTCTTCGCCTCGGAACTTTCCAGTAGCATCTAAGGTGGTATTTTGACGCTTTTGATTAATGATCTTTTTATTGATGCTTGTCTTCGTGCACTGATACAGAAGACAAGTGACGCAGCAAGCAAAAGGAGCGAGTTTTGTTAATAATTCTTGAAAACAAAACTTGCACAGCTGCATTTTCAAAGACTTGTTACTGATACCATATTGTTTAAAAACTTCATCATACTGGCAGTAGGCCATCAGAAATGGATGCTTAGAATGTAGAATGTTGCTGCTCAAGTTCTGTACTAGAAAACTTCAAACAGTGTAAGAATTAACTTCCTCGGATAGTGGGAAGAAACGCAACCAAGGAACAAAGCCGAACTAGCAAAATATTATTATTAACACTGATATACGTGATTTCAGTTTTTTCAATGCCCAACTTTTGACTTCTTCTACAGCTTACAGAATATATCATTTTGTGGTGCGCATCCCAAACAGCTTAGGTTGGTTTTTTTGCTGATTTTCTAATCGTTTTTCCCATTTACAAGTTTTTTTTTTGTTCCAGAAGTTTACTTTAAAGCACATAGCAGGATGATTAATTCTTAGGTATTTTGGTTTCATAACGAAGCATCCGCTATTACCACGTTTCGCTTGTCATGTGTTTCTGTCTAATGCTTCTACACAACCAATTGTCGAATCCATCGGGTATGTTTTCTATTCCCATTTTTTTCGTGCTAACATTTTTAACTACTGCTATTTGTTTAGCCCGAAGCAATGACTAAGTTTATACAAATTCTGTGTGAAATGCACGATAGGATTTTTACTCAAAAATTAATTACAGTAGTACTTCGTGCTCTCTGGACATTGAAGACGAATAGCTTTTAGGCGTGCATTCAAGCGATCCTACGACGAATATATGGCGTTCGCACATCCCACTGAGGACATTTATCTTGAATGATTACTGCTACCCGGAGGCAGAAGACTGGTCAGGAGATTTGGCAGGAGTTACTGTTCTAAATTTTCATATGGCTCTTACATTTACTGTTGCGCAAATTATGGCGAACATGCCGAATGGCACAAACTTAATGTTTATTTGTTAATCCTTTCAACAAAAATGTGCGCATCGTTGGAGAAAATTTCGGAGGAACAGCATGAGGAAAATTGAGGAAGATTCGAGTGAGGAAAAATTTTTTGGCTGTTATGAATATGTCGTCAGCTTTTGTAAATGTTGCTAGTTGTAAGCGAGGATTCTTAGGCACTTTATCGAAGCGCCGTGCTTCTATTCCGACATCAGCGCTAGCTATAGTTAAGGCTAAAGTGCGCACTGTAAATCGGACTGTGCGATGCAGTAAAAAGATCAAGCAAAGTTAATCAAATGCGACGAGTTCGCGATACAATAGGACTTTTGGGGCTTAGAGGAAGAAAAAAGAGACTGTGTGTGCCGATCAGTGATTAACGTATCTCGAAAATAGCGAGCGCGGAGGGATCCTGGGCTTCGCAGAAGCCTGGCAGAATTCAGCGCTGGACATATTCATGAAACAGTGCTCGGCAATATCAGATGCAGCAGTTGCACAGCAAAATTTGCATAACATTGAGGGAGTTGAAAGTATATTCAGGCACTGTTGATATTAATTACGCACATACACAGAACAGGCGGTAGGTACTAACTGAAAGCGTGCAACCCGGACAGAAAAGCCTGGAATAGCTGCGCTGGGCGTGTAGGAGCATCTACTAGCATTACTAACAGTGGATAACCATTACTAACAGCCCGAGTAGTCCTGATATCCTTGAATATTAATGTATAAAATTTGAAAAAGCAATTGCAACAGTACTCTCTTTAAAACTTCGTGTGATTTTCTTCACATTGCAAAAATTGCAACATGTAATACTGTCATAAAGAATAGCACGCACTACAGTGTTACTCGGTTGCGCGTTTTTTCGGGAAATTGATGAAAATACGCTATTTCTGGCAGCACCACAGCACAGTGTTTGTTAGTTCAGTTTTTCAACACGTTTAGGCGCAAAACGTGTTTTTAAGAGGACGATTCGCTTCTTCGTAGCCCGTGGTAGATCTAACTATATGATTTAAGATTATAAAAGACTGAGCATGAGCCGATTTTAAATCATTTTTCTAGGCATTATGTGATGTTCACAAGTTCCGACATTTTGAACCTGTAACTTCACCTGTAGCTTTTAAAAAACCATAAAATTGACATAAATCTAGAATTTAAGCCGTGAAAACACGTTTGAATTTAATAGTTTACTTCGAATGGTTGACCTAACTTTCCATAAATTAGCCTCTTAAATTTCTACCCTGCAGTTTTTTTTTTGTGGAATTGATTTCAGTTCCTAGTTCCACACACAGAGGGAGTTGCTTCTACAATATTTCAATTTTCAGACTAATGAATTTCGAAAGTTAACAGATAGAAAGACAAGCAAAGCAATACAACCTTGTCAGAATGCATTTCAGAAGTGTACAATAATTTCCAAAGGATTCATAATTTACAACCTATAATTACAGTATGGTACAGTAAAGGATTTTTTATTTTACAAAATGAGTGCTGAGTGGTTTGTTCGCAGTATCACTTTACAGTGGACTGACTGCTCCACTGCGAATGAACTTGTTGAGAATTGTAGCTGAGTGAAGTGCCCCAAAGAATCAAGTACTGCGCCATGAAATAAGTCGACAGAATCAGCTTCTCTGCAATCGGTATGGCAAAGCCGACATAATGGATGATCAGCGCACTGTCAGATAAGTAGAACAGTACAAAGCCAAGAAAACGGAGAAAGTTGTTCTGAAAAATGCAGATTAATGAGGCAGGTGGAAAGAACCTTTCTGCGGTGAAACCTTTCTGTGGTGCAGTCTCTGGGATTAAAGAACAGTACTCCGGGAATCGCAGCATGACTTGTTATGATTTTCGCGGTTTTTTCTGGCTGTTTAGTGTTGCGAGCATCAATAATGAAAGTACCGGTATTCCACATGTCGGTATCTTCCTCTCTCGCTCCTGCGCAAAAACGATGATTTACAATGATATTGGCATTCCAAATACATTCAAGCGCGCAATTTTTTTCGTCTTCGTGTGTATAAAAAAAAAGTATGAAGACGCATAAAAATGCGAATCCAGTTATTCGAGTAGTTCATTTTTTTGCGTTTGTGTGTTTCTGTACTATTTCTATGTGGTGGACTTCTATTGACATGTGGATGCGTATGCTTAAGTGTTTGTTTATTTACCACATATTCTAGCTTTGCAAAAATCCGAAAGGGCAAAATCGAAAAGGCGAAAAGCGAAATTTCGGAAACTTAATCATCGCCCCTGAGAGTTGTTCAAAAAAAAGTTGGAGATGTTTGAAACCCTTGGACAAATAACCCTTGGGAAGAGTTGCTCAAAAAAAAAAAAAAAAA